CCCAGAGGTCACTGATGAGGACAAGGGGGATAGTGGCCTCCTGCTGCTATCAGGGTTTCCTTACTCCATGGTGCAGGACACACATTAGCAGATGACTCTCAGGTCCCTTGTCCCCTCTGCATACATGCAGGACAGGGCAGTCTCTGCTTAGAAGGCCACAAAGACTCCATGGTACAGTTCTGTCACCTCCCCTCGGTGATGCCGGTTAGTGGAGTGGCCATGCAGTGGCCCATAGTCCCCAGCCAGGTCTATCTCCTGTGTGCCTTGGCTGTGGGTCTCAGATGTGGCCGGTGGTCATGCGTGGCAGCAGGCACAATCTGAGCATCCGTAGAAGTGGAGGACAGCCACAGAAATGCAATTCTCCAGAGAGGAGGGGACTCGCCTGGGTGCTGCACAGAAACACAGCCCCTGACACTGACTCCAGGAAGCCCTGGAGGAGACCTGTACTGTGCCTTCGGCCTCTGGGGCCTGAACCCCTGCCACTCCCTGCTCTTTTTCCCCCAACTCCCCCAGAGTCTCCACTCACCCAGTGTTGGTGCAGTCAGCTTCGACAGACACCCACAGCTGGACAGGGAGCTGAGCCTCGTGTCGACCCCAAACTGTACCCACTCTGCTGCACAGGCAGTGACCCCAGGCCGCTGCTGTCATGGACAGGGCCGAACACGTCTCCCCAAGTCCTGCAGTCTCAGACCACTTAGTGTTGCCGCTGAGGGACGTGACCTCAGGAAAACACCCCCACCCCCCACCCCATGAAGGACAAATGGGAACAGCACGTCCTTCCTCAGGCACACAGGCCAGGGGACATCACCGCTGTGTTTAAAGATGACAATCATTTTTAACATCTGATATTTTTCTTTATAATCCAAACTGCACCCACCACATTATTTCTCCTCTGCGGGTGACAGATATTCACCATTTGAATCTACTATCTCTCTCTAAAACAGATAAGGGTTACATGGAGGGGAAGAAGGGAACGGGAATTGTGCTTTCTGTGGGGAATGTGACTAGAGGCAGTTTGCTTGGCGTTTCCCAGTGAGATGTCAAGAACCAGGAATGGGTGAGGCCCGGCATGGGTGTGTGGGCACTGTCTTGGGCAGCAACCATCTTGTTGGTCACAACCCCGTCCTCTGGGCACCCTGTACACTTCTTAGCCTCTGGAGCACTTTCCTGATGCCGGCAAGACCAAGGCTCGGGGTGCACTGGCCTAAGGTCGGGGGTCAGAGCTGCTGCTACCTACAGCCATCGATGGCTCCACTGTGCCTTATGCCTCTGAAGGGAAGCAGCTTTTGGGGAACTGAAGACCAGGACTGATAGAAACAAATGATCCATGTTGACATAAATGCAGCATAGCAAAAGACACACGGCCGTGAATCCACCTCCAAATTCCCCTCTGAGCACATTTATGCCATCATCCAAGCCGCTTTTGAAAGCAGCTCTGGAGTCCTCTGTTGTGAACGTCTTAAAAGGTTTGATCAGAAACACAGAGAAGGCTCCTGCTCTGTGAGCGGCACCCAGGGGACTGCAGCTCCTGGCCTTCCCTATGTTGATTCTTATGACATAAAACAAACGTATTTATTATTCATCGTGGGCTTTTGTTTGAAAGATCCCATACTATGCTTTTTTTAAATCCATCTTTTTGTTTTTCTTGTAACTCTGTGCAACCACAAACCACCTTACTTTACCACAATCCTTTTTCAGAAAGCTTCCAATATTTCCAGTCAGTCTGTATTTTCATGAGAAATATCTAAATCTATGCATTTTCCCAATTATAGAGAACCTAGAGCTTCTGAAGACAGACAGCTTTACCTCAGCACTCCCTCGGGAAGGAAAGCACTTGGTTATTGAGGCTAAGATTTGCCAGTTTCCTTTTGGTATGGTTGCTATCTTCCAATCTTTACCTGGTCCTCATCTTGCGGGGGTTGTCTGAGTGGGCAGTGCTGGCCTCCAGGTAGCCGGTCCCTGGTCAGCTGTTCTTTCCTATCTGCACAACAGCTCCCGGATCTTTGTAAGCTGGAATTTTACTTTTCACATAATCTTCTTAAGATTAGCGGATCTTCTTACTTCCCAGGCAAATCTTTTCCTGTTAACTCTGGAATGGTCAGCCAGCGTGCCCTTGGGAGATTGTACCTCTCTTACCGCAAGTCTGCCTCTGTAGATGAATGATAAGCTCTTGGTTATATAAAACTTGTTCCTCAGCCTTAATCTCTAAAATAACAATAAAACATTTCTTACTTGTACTTCATATTTTGTTTTGGTTCAGTTTCCTGCAGTGCTTTCTGACATGTCTTATACCAAGAACTAAAATTTTAAAAAATAATAATATGGATAATGTAATTGTCAAATGAGAGCTCTTGATTGGGTCTTCAAAAGTCCCAGAGGTGACGGGCAGGGGCCCATTCCTGGGAATCCACTGAGACCCAGTGCAAAGTCAGGTGATTTCATGGGTAGCTAAGCAACCAGCAGCTACCTCTCTCCAGGACTTGTACTTAGTGTTTATGAACACAGCTAACACCACTACTAGCTGTTTAATAAAAATGCTGTACAAGAAATAGAATTAAATTAGTCACTTTGCCACCATTGGAACTAAATAACAGTTTATTTAGTTCCAATGGTTTATTTTGGCTTACGTTTCAGAGGGTTCAGGCATGTTTGGTTAGCTCCAAGGCAGTAACAGTACGGCGGAAGGACCTGGTGGAGGGCAGGTGCTTACCCCATGGCCGCCAGGAGGCAGAGAGAGAAGGGAGGAGCTGGGGCAAGAACACAGCCTTTCCAGGCCAGGGCCCTGGTAGCCACCTCTTCCCACCAAGCTCTGCCTCCCAACAGTGCATTCAACCAGGACCTCGTCAGGGGATAAATCCACCAAGGGGTACAGCGCCCTTCCTCCAATCACTTCCATGCATAGGAACCTGAGGGAGACAGTGTAGACCTGAACCATAGCAATAGCTGACTTAGAGGAAAAATAGATCCTGCCTGATAGCACTCTGCAGACCAGGCCTGGCCTTCAGTCATGATAGCCCATTGTCTGAGATAAGAAAGCATCTCTAAAGATGCGTTCATGGTGCAGGATATGACTTGGTGTCCACAAACGATTTTACCTGGAATAATCGCACAATTGTCCAGGAGAAGCAGGCGAGAGGACAGAGTGCACTATTTTCTAGAATTATCTCAGGACTTTCTCTAGAGAAAAACACATAATGAAAGGCAGAGCTCTCCAGAGACCTGGTCTTTTCCTACAACAGTTTTACTGTTTGACCGGTCTCCGTACAAAACCCCAACTACCTCTGGTATCTGCTAAAGGTGACTCCACCAGGCATCTCAGAGGACACTGAGGCCACGCTTGGAGCAAAGCCAGGTTCAGACCCTTTCTCTTTACATCTTCCAGCTGCTGCCTTCTCTTTCGGAGGACAGGGTGGGGCCACTCCCACAGCTCTGCGTGGTCTCACGTAAGCCACCTCTTTCTATGTCAAACCGTAGGAACTATTGGTGTCTCCTTGGCTACTGTACCCTGCCTTTCTCAGTGTGCACTTTTATGTGAAGACATCCCAAAAGACCTAAGAACAGATATGGGTGGTTATAGAACACTGATGTCTCACTGATGAAACGATCATATCGGCTGCCTAAAATTACACGTGAATTTCACATGGTTATCATTTCACCTCAGTGGGGCTTCTTGATCAAAAGATAAACCTTCACTTTGATGAAAGCAACAAAAAGTTAATAGAAACTCAAAGCAAGTCTCCATATATCCACGGACTTTGACTAAGATGTATGGTGCCATGTGGTCGGTGGATTCATCCAGAGCACCTTTGCAATTTCACAAACCTTTAACAAATAGTTTTAGGCTAGACATCCAAGCATTGTTAGGGACATGAGCTTTGTAATTCTGCAGATCATGGATTTAAATTCCAGATTCTCCACTAATGTCCAGTACTTGTGCTGTCAAGCACAATGTTACCGATAAGAACCCTGGTGGTGTAAGCACGTGTGGAGAGCCTCATGGGAGAAATGCAATTTGCTTAGAAAACAACCCACATCTGACCCGAGCCAGGTGTGACTCTGTGACCACCGGCCAATGTGTGCGGACTCCCAGTGCCCATTTAATGTGAGCCCTGGTGGATCTGGGCCTGAGGGACAAGTGTGACTCGGGTAGCATTGGCCCCGCATGCCGAAGCATCCACAGCAGGACCTGAGAACTAGCTGAATTCTGGTTTTCCGCAATGCAGCCATTGGCCTTGTTCTATCTGAATACGGGTACAGCGCATTTCTCTACCGCACAGTCTCAATGCTGACTTCCCTGAATGTCACCCAAACCAAAGATCCTGCTTCCGCATTGCACTCGGTTACGTAAGTCCCAAACTGTTAAAGATGTCCCTCAGCCTCTCCGAGGTGGGGGCTGGGGATCTGCATGTGGGTCTCCTCCCGCTGCGCCCCACAGCAAGAACTGCATGTGCACTGCTGTCTCTGATTTCTGCCGAGTTTCTCTGGGTTTTAGGGGAGATTACTGGGACATCTGATTTGAGTCATAAACATGAAATCCCATTTCTTGCTTCTTTCTGGAGATGCTGACCGAGGCTCCATTCTAAGGGATTTGGCGCCATCTCGTGTCCAAGTTGTGTCACTACAACTTGGGAACTGGAGGGACTTCTCAGGGCAGTCAATGCCAATCAGCGGGATCAGGATGACTTCTACTTTCTGTATCACCGGGTTTGGGGAACTTCCGATCCTCCTCCAGTCTGCTGTTTTTCCTCATTAGCTCCATCAAATTAAACGCCAGGAAATCTCTTGCATCTGGTAAGGGCACAGTCAAATACGTTCGGACTGTCATCGCAGAGGTTGCAACCACTGGGCTGCAAACATGCTCCTATGAGCCAGGGTGTGCTCCAACCCACCTAGGCCTCGGCATGCTTCTCTCCGCGACGTGTCCCTTATCAGAGGCAGAATTATCACTGTCTCTACACAATTTTGATTCCTCTCTTTCTCTCTTGTTTTTTAAATTTCAGATTGTCTACAAAGCCTGGCTCTGCTCCCAGTATTTTGAAGTCACACAGTTTAACTGCAGAAAGACAATTCCTTGCAAGCAATACTGTTTGGAGGTGCAGACGAGGTGTCCGTTCATACTGCCCGACAACGACGAGGTTATCTACGGAGGCCTCTCCAGCTTCATCTGCACAGGTAATGGGGCGGCCGGCCAGGCCACCGGGGTGACTTTCTGAGGTGCCCTGCTCTTGCTTTATGATCCATGTCTCCCTGAGGACTTGGCTGGTGATCGACCACATATGCCCAAGTAGAAGCAGCAAAATCTCCACACTGATCTGAGCACAGGTCCATCCACACTGTCAGCACTGCAGCCAAACCCACAGGCTGAACTTCACAAGGGGATTGTTTTGCGGGCAAAGGGGTAGCAATCATTCACGCAGTCGTGCTGGACGTGGCAGAGGCGGGTCCTGCCTACTTTGTCTTTCTCTTCCATGTTCTGTCAGAGACGCTGCAATCCTGCCGGCAAGATTGTCTCTTCCAATTAGGAGCAAGCTCGGGTCCCCATATCTGTGTTCTGAGAATGCTGTTATCCTAAATAAACATCACAGCCCGAAGGAGTGCTTGCCTGAGTTACTGTCTGAGCCTGTGTGGGGAGGGTCATGGTGAGCTCAGACACAGTCTGATTGGTTTTTTTCCCATTAACAATGTTTCCTTCTTTCTGCAAAGGACTGGGATTGGGCCAAGTGTAGCCACCCACTCATGCCCTGGCATGCCTAGGTCCGTGTGTGTTAGACACAGGGGGAGACGCAAAGGAGAGGGGTGGTCAGTTTTTGAAGAGGAATCAAGAAAAGAACAGATCCCTGGCCACAGCGGTGGTGCACAGGTTTCTCTGTATTCTGATGAAGACCAAAATACACAATGGTCTTGTAAACACATGGCTGGAATCAGAGTACAAACATTTTTCAATCTGTGGCTGAAACACTGTGAGGAGCAGGGAGAGACAGGAGGTCTCATTTGCTGGGTGGGGCTTTACGGACTCCTCTGAAACAGAGGGGCATGTTTGGGTATCCATCAAATTGTCCCTGGATCACTTATCAATCTGCCTCACTATTCTGAAGCAGTGAATCGGTCAAGAGACATTGCTGTTAGGACACAGGATGCTGGGAGGCTGAGGCAGGGAGATTGCAAGTTTGAGGCAACCTGGAAAACTCAGCATTGTAGTAAGATGCTGTCTCAAAATTCAAATAAAAATTAAAGAGAAAGACTGGGGATGCAGCTCAGTGCTGTCCCCACAGGGTTCCAGGTCAGGGAGATGCTCACAGCCATCACAGGGGGTAGTGGTCCAATCTGGGAAGCATTATGCGATTGTACAGTCATTTCAGATTCAAAGCTGGAATCTTTGTTCCTGTAGTGTCACTCTGCTGGAGAGAGAGAAGAGGAAGGAAGGGGAGAGAGAGAAGACTGGGGGTGGGGGTGGGGTTAGTGAAAGCTTCTTGACTTCCAAGAACAAACTCACCACATGTCTACAGCCCATGAAGATCACTCCATGTGCTGCTCCTGGAGTCACGGGCCTCCTTTTGGACCGACCCAGGGTCATCAGCCAGAGCCTGAGCTCAGCCTGAAGGAGCTGGAGGAGCCCAGGCATGGGTGTGTCTTGTGTGCTCAGCGGGGGCGGAACCCAGAGCAGACAAAGCGGTGCTGAACTGTGGGGCCCTGAGCAGCCAGGCCACTCACCCAGGGGCCTGTGAGGCTGACAGGTCAGATTGCACGCTGATCATCTGTCTCTTCCACGGTAGCCACCACTTGAGGGTAAAATGCCCTGTGATGTGGACTCAGGACTCGAGTGAGACACACTCCTGGTGCCTGCTGCTGGACCTGGGGCAGGACAGGCGTGTCCCTTGGAGGAAAGCCTGGACATTTGCACTGGAGCCCGGGAAGTGTGGCCCTCTCTGTCCTCTCAGGGGACAAGATGTCCTCTGCTTTCAGGGGAGCATATTCAATCCCAAAGAGCAGCTGCTTTGCTCTCCCCGCTGGCTGAGACGCAGGGCCGCATTGATGGCGGGCTTGTGGCATCTCGGGCTCCCAACAATGGTGCACAGTGAGGGTCTAGGGGGCCACTGGGCCCACTCCAGGGAGAAGGCTTTATCCTGGGATGCGGATCCGAACCTTTGTCCCAGGAGCTCCTCCTTTGACAAAGATGAGTCGCTGAAGTCCTTATGTTTTGTACCCTGAAGAACACAGCTGTTTGTCTCTGTGAAGCGAAGGCCTCGTGCCTGCCAGCTCAGCTCACTGACTTCCTCCTGCCTGAAAGGCATGCAGGCTATGGGCCCTGGAGGAGGAGATTCTACATGCCCCCAGGACGCTTGGAACCCTGCTCTCATCCGCGTGGGAACAGTTCGGCAAATACTTCACTACACGGGACTCATGGGCACTGCCGCCCTCGGAAGGCCAGTTTCGTGCCCAGGGCCTCTTGTAGAGACAGACCAGGACACTGATGCCACTTCTCCTCTGTGCCCACTGTGTACTGATGTGGGTCCTCCTGTCACACCTTTATCATGTGCGCATCAATACGTAGGTTGCTTTGTAATTTTACTTGTATCAGGGCGTGTGTGCAGGACACAACCAACAGAGTGAAAGGGTAACCTCTGGAATGGGGAACACTTCACCAGCTCTTCTCCAGGCAGAGGATTCAGGAAGATACAAAGTTTTTAAAACGTCGACTCCTCAGGTGAAAAGAACCATTCTAAACAATGGGCAAGCAAAATGATTAGCTGCTTCTTGGAAGTGCAAGTGGTCAGTAAACACATACAGGGTGATCAACATGCTTGGCCACTAGGGAAATGCAAATTAAACAGCCCTGAGAGTCCCTCTCACTCGTGCTGACTTTAGATTTCTTTTTACTCACTGCCTCATCCCAGTCACTCTGGGAGGCTGAGGCAAGTGGGTCACAAGTTCAAGCCCAGCCTGGGCAACTTAGCGACAGTGTGACCTCCATCTCAAAATAAAACCTGAAGAACTGAGCTAAAGATGTAGCACACTGTAGATGTGTCCTAGAAGGGAAACTGTGAGACGTGTATTTCTGATCCCTGCTCTTTTATGTAAAAGCCACGATGAAGGAACAAAATGTCAGGCCAGGCGGCGCCGAGCCGAGTGCTGGTCTCAGGATGGGCTCGAGGTTCCGGTGAAATATTCTGACCTTCTGACCATGATCCTGGAGACCCCGGGCTTGTCCTGGGAGGAAGCTGGACCTCGCTCCCCACAGGGCGGTCCAGGTGTAGCCAGGCCTTGGGTGGGCTTGGACCGGTTCTGGCCAGAGGTTCTGTCCCTGCCCGACCGGAACTCGAGGTCACTGGGCGCTGAGGACCCCGCGGCTGCAGCCAGGGCTCCGCTTTGCACCCCATCCTGCAGAGTTTCCAGGAGGCCTGGGCAGCTTCCTGCAGCCAGGAGACAGGGCAGAGGCGGTGCCATGGCAACCAGCTCGGGTCCTCCAGGGATTGGATAAATGGGCGCCCCCCCACCCCCCGCCCCTGCCAGCCATGATCCCGCTCAGCTCTTCCCGGGGAAACTGAACAAAAGTGAAATAGGCCCAGTGGGGGTCCCTGCCAACGGCACAAGACATACTGTGGGAGTTCGAGAAGGATTCTGCGGCTCATTTCCTTCTTCAGCAGCGACAGATCTGGCTCTGTGGCCCCCACCCTCGCTGTGCGCACTGAGCTCCCCTCTTCCAGGAGGATTTGAAGCGCCCGCCCGCCGCGCCCCCTCGCGGCGCCGCCTCCGTACTGCAGGCGCCGAGCGGCCCTGGAAAATTCACAAAACAATTTGCTCTTGAGAGAATTTACTACTGGGAAAGAAGAAACATTCCCCAGAGTCCTCTTATGACGTGCAAGTGAGTTAAGATTTGAACAATACAGAAAGATTTTCTCTTTCAAGTATTTTAGTACAAAAAAGTGTTTCCCTTTGATTTAAAATATTTTTTTTTATTTTACATAGAATTTTAAGGTCGTTTCCCATGCTATTTTGAATATATGTCTCTCTCCCAGTGTGAGTAATGTTCAGATATTATTCAAAAATAAACTTTTTGTCAAAAAAATTACTTAAATGCTGCTCATGTCTGAAGATGTACAAAATCTTTCAATACATTTGTCGAAGTTTAGATGAAAAGAGAAGCAGATTAAACACAGCTTTGAGAAAGTCAGTTATTAAAAATGTGTGAGGCGTAGCTGCCCCAGGACGGGTGTAGTTCCTTCCTGCGCCTGCCCTGCATCTTGAACTCAGGTCCTTCATGGTTGCTCTCCTGGACTTTGGCCTCTTCCTGACTTCCTTGGTGCCTGGGCCGTATTCCAGGACTTGATGCAAGGAGCCATACTGGGTGGACACCGGTTAGGTCCCAAAGTCACATACCCCCCAAGGCCACCTCGTGTCCACTGGTGGTGCAGGACTGAGCCAGCCCAGCTCCTGGAAGTGGAGGCCGCGCAGAAGTCCCTCCTGTGTGTGAGCACCCTGCTTTGGGGGACCCTCCTGGAGTTCCTGCTGTCCTTTGGCTCTGCATTGCTAGGCTTCCCTTGTCCTGAAGAGAAGTTAAAGGGATGAGAGAGATGAGCGGAGCCTGCTGCAGCACCTGCACAGGCGGAGCGGAGCCTGACAGGAAGGGACTGAGCTCCAGACCTCAGCCCTGAGCCTGGCACTGTGGCTATGCCCAGCCTGGGCGGGGAATGCCACATGCACTTTTGATGCCACTGGGGGCATATCTATCCTGGGGACATCTGCTCACAGGGGCCGTCACCTTTCTTTGCATCTGTGTGACTGAGCTGCACATGGGAGCTGTGTCCCCGTCTTCCAGTGCAGAACACTGTGGAATGTGTCTAAGACAAGACAGTATGGGGGCAGGCAGCAGGGCTGGGGTCAGCTGGGGCAGCTTGAGGAGCTGAGGACACATCCTCGCGCAGTGCCCGTGAAGACCTCAGGACATCAGACACAGAGGAACCCACGAGGTAGGGGCAGGATGAGCAGGACACCTGAATTCCCGGTCAGGGCTGCAGCTGAGGAAGGATGATTTGGGTGGACAGAGATCCCCTCCCTGGGGCCAGCAGAAACTTCAGGGACGATGTTCACCTGCCACAAGCGCATCTCTGTGAGGAGTCCTGACCCCCCCAGGAGCTGCTCTGAGTGCTGAGCTGCTTTGAACACAGCTAGTC